AGGAATCCTAGAGGCTCAATCGCAGAAGCAGCATTCTAGACATTTGACGAAAGTCATTTTTCACCACAAAATGGTGCTTCAGATCCCATAGGCAAGCATTATTATTACCCGTCACGTAAGGAGTCGGTTAACAGTGGAAATTGTAAATCCCTACTACCCACACAAGAACCACAGCAATGTTGAAGGAACCCCCGATTTCACAAAAATCCTCTCCTCTTGAACAAGGAACACACCTCCAATGTCATGCTTCGTTTTGACAAAAACCCTTTTTCACTGCAAACGACATAACCTAGGGTGAGGTGCTGAGTGTCGAAAAAAATTCGCGCCCCTTTGATCATGCCGTCGAGGATCTTCGCTCTGCTTCCCACACCGCATACATTGTGGATGCGAATACGCCTCCAACTCACCCATCCAATTAAGAAAGGGACATCATCCTGAACCAGTGTGACGCAAAAAACTCACTACTTGTTTGTTTACTGAACCACTCTCAAAGGCATACACAAACATCGGTGATGCCTAATTTCTCCTCCTCTTCGCGTTCACTGGGCTCATACATCACACCAATCCCTCATCAAGCAACACCACTCTAACGTGAGGCACCCTTTTCTAGCAAACGAGGTAATTTGAAACACGCTAGGTGGTGAGTCGAGTTCCAAGATAATGTCTTGACATTTAAACTAAGGCACAACTAGTTTGGTTTACTGCATCACGCCCCAAGAAACGCATTCGCACCAGTACATCAAAACACATGCAGACACCATGATGACCACGGATTGTGGTCAACCTACCACAACGATGAATGTAGTAGAGGCCCTCGTTGAGGGAGGAGGCAGAGGCACCGATCATACCGCCACCGCCACTACCAACACTGCAGCCACAACTGATGCCCACCACCAGGGGTGAGGGGCAAGCGGACGAGTAGAGGTAGGAGTCACTCTTCGGTGCGTCACCAACCTGGCAAATCAAATCAGTCATCAGGAGGTGAGTTAGGGATCATGTCCACCTACTTTTAAGTGGCTAGAGGTGCACTACCCATTCAGGATTAAAGACTGGTGCCAGCTGAAGGGATTTCCCAGGCGCACCTGACCAGCTGTCCACTCATGTAGCAACAAAAATTGAATACTCTAGAGGAATTTAATCCCCCTGAAACTTCTTGTACTATCACAGAAGTCTACTCCTAAGCGACTTTAACTCGACACTGTTCTTCAGGGCACCGTTTCCCAATGCATCAGTCAAAAATAGCTTTTCTTGGCATGAAACATGCGTGCTTTAGATCGGCTAGGATTGTGCTGTTCATCTGTGCTGGAAGAATAATTTCAACCAAAAAAAAAAAAAATAATTCATTAGTGCACCTAGCTAGTTAATTATCATAAAAAGTAGCTGGCTGAATACTATCTTCAACTGTGTATTTAGGTGGCTGCAATTACACTGGCCACACTTCTGATTGTCGGACTTACTGTGCTATAGAGATACCCATTCTTGAGTAAGGTTCAAAAACAAAGTGCTTCATGTTCAATGTTCCAATAGTTGGGAATCGGTACTTCCAGAAGGTTGTGGCTTAGCTATTTTTTTTGCTTACTCTGAGAAAAATTATTGCCAAGCAGTGACAAGTCGAACATTCGTCACAATGTCATGGAATATGAGTGATGACGCGCAACAAACCGACGTAAGATTCAAACTTGGTAGTACCAGCGAACACACCACCAACTTAGCATCGTTTTATTGTTAGTAACCAAACATTTCCCTGTTTTCCTCCACTTAAAAGCTAGCTGGCCTTGACAGCAACAAAAATCACTCGATACCTAGAGGCACATTCCCTCCCTCCACTTAGGGACTCAAGTCACTGTCCCAAAGCTGCCAATCACATGCAGTACCTCAAATCCCCAGCAGTTAAGTGCAGGGAAAACTCACATCGAAAGGATACGCACGGAAGGTGAACTGTGGGCCCATCCAGATGCGACGAATGGGTCCCAAATGGGTGGTAAGTTCCACTTGACTACACCAGTAGGAGGCGGCGTCTTCGGGGGCCCAGCCTTCAGGCGCGGCAGTGTTGGTGGAGCGGTAGCTCCGCAAGCTTTCCGACGGACTCGATGCCGTTGTTAATGCCGCTTCTGAAGCGTGTCGACGCCCTGACGGCACCTCCATTGCCGCCGTCGATTCTACAAAAAGAGGATGATGATGCTGAAGACGGTCGGCATTGTCTGATGCGTTCGCTGAATGTCTGCAGAAGACAGATCACCACAGCACAGATGTTTTATTGTTCTAATATGATGCCAGTATCTGCGTTGCTGAGCCGCAAAGTCAAACTGCCGCCCAGGAACTAGAAAAATGGAATTAATGGATTAAACACTTAACCCGTTTGCTTACGTCATGACTTTGTACGGTCTGTTTGTCACCAACTGATAGAGAGCACGTGCCACACAGTTGTCAAGCTGGGTCAAGGTAGGAACATCGGGAGCGTCAAAAATTTGTTAAATCTGCATTCTTGAAAGACAAGCAGCTTTTCATGCATTATAACTGGGAACGCGATCATTTAGGTTCAAGAAGTCTTTCTAAAATTTATGAACCTCTAAATTCACCTCAAAATTGGAAACACTAGTTGTTAACCCAATTCGGGGAATCATGAATAAGTATAAGGAGTGTGCAAATCTTATCTGTCATTAGTTTAAAAGTGAATAAAACAATCGCCCTAACAGATAAAAGACCATCTCTAGGACAGGAATGGCCACGGTTAAAAAAATAGCAATCACCAAATGCTCAAAGGGATTAAAATAAGCCAGAAGAAGGATTCACACTCTTTCGAAGACTGATTCTCTCTTTTTAAAAACATTATCACCTAAGTTATCGACTCAATGGAGAAGGCTGAGTAACCCCCAGGAGAATTGGTATGATGATAATAACAAGCGCGCGCATTGACAGCCGGCCCAACTGACTAGGGCGCCCAGCGAAGAGGCGGCAACACATCTCGAGAGGGAACCGAGGCATATGACTAAAGAGCGAAATCACAACTTCAATCAGCGTCACCCAAGGCAGAGACGAATGGAGCAGAGTTTACGGCCACGTGAACAATCCGCAATCATCGAGTGTTTGCTCCGTCTCATTTCATTTGTCAAATTCAAACCCAACAACGCAGTAACAAGTTGATCGAAAGCATTTTCTGTATCGTAAAAGGGAGAACAGAGAAGGTGCACAAATTCCATGAAAGAAACAACATGAAAAGCGCATTTCACACAAACGACAAGTGACAATTAAAAGAATGCCCAAACAGGTTTTCTGCGTGACCTATGAGGAAGATTCTTAAGTGAAACCTGCCAGACAAAAACTCGACCACTTTTGGGGGCACAAAGCACACAAAGCGGTAAACTCCCACCAGACAGAATTATATTGAGCACAATCACACACCTTTTTCGTCTCCTGTGATTCAGTCGCCATGGCAGTGGCACAGTCCGCTACCAGTATCCCAGACCTTCTGTTTGCTTATTGTAAAACCCTTTCTCTGCTTCTACGCATCGGAACGTCTTCAAGGCAGCAATTCGAGTGCCACGAGTCTACGTGAATAGCCCAGCACTGTTAAAAAGGCACAGAAAAGAGTAGAAGGAATTCACATCAGTCAAACCGACATTCAGCGCCCTTCCGGTTGAACGCATCAGAGTGTCAGCGACACCAGTAACCAGGGCTCAATTCAACAAGCGTGTCCGCGTGCAGGGGTGCGCACGTCCACGCCTCCATCACGTGATGAGGGCAAAGGATGGAAGGGGATGGATGATAAAATGATGCGTGTGACCGCGCATCATTCCCCAGCCGTATTTCCATGCCTGTGTGCATGTGTGCGTATGTACTTTGCAAGCAGACCGGTTGCACGGTCTTGCTTTTTCCCTCGTCTTCTCTGTCTTGCACAATTCGGCTAGATGGATCACGTGATGGAATGCCTCCCCATTTGCGCGACCAATCGCTAAAGTGCAACCAACGCCTTCAGGCTTTCGAGGCGTGCTCATGGCCTGCCGCTGCAGCGATAGCAGCGGCAACAACGATGACAAAAGCAAATCCAGGCACACTCCACTTCTATGCCGACAAGAGGTCGCCAAGGCATACATATCACCTCATCAACGCACACCTTAAGCGATAGAATGGGGAATAAGTAAGCAGGGCTAAGTGGATGAGGAAGAGGAGAGGGAGGAGGAGGAGGTGGTGAAAATGAATATCAACGCCCTGTCACACCATCAAGTATTTCCACTTTCCGAAAATAGCGTCGTCTAAGCAAATCTTTAGCTGATAAAACATCGACGTGACACCTATCTACTTGAGCAGTGGCGTGGTCGTGTGACTCCCAAATAAAAATTTCTGCAGTCACAAGCAGCAGTGAGTTGAATAAATTGAAGTAAGCTGTTCTAATTGAGTAGTTGAACATATGATGGCGGCAGAAACTCCCACTCACCTCTCTCCAGCATCCATCACTTGTGCTACCAGTTCCTAACCCTTCCATTCCAGCAAACTATGCATTCTCCCAGCTTTGCATACCACAAGAGAAAAATCGGCCATCACATTGGTGGCAGTGATGGAATGTGCCCGACACATTCTGCTCCCGACGATTAGTACAATCGCTTTCAATTGTGCCTCAAAGTGGGGTTTAGGCCTAGCGGATCAACCAGAGAAGAGGATACCGCCGTTTCAACTTACAACACAAGAGCCATTAACGGCACGATCCGAATCTCTGTTTCCATAACTAGGTCAGATGGAACAGTCAACACTGCCTACAGTATCTTTCATAAGCAAAACCTGCACTTTCAACGCCTCTCCAAACGGACAACTGAGCAGCAACGAAGCGGAAGGAAGAAAAGGCATTACGTTCAGCGATCTGTTTAGTGCTTCCGAGACTAGAAGAAATTGGCCAGTTAAAAAGCGACAGGTGCACGAAAAGCACTAACTGCAGAGCTTCAATTCCACTCTATCAACACGTGGCTAATGCATCCTTCTCGATGTACTCCGAAAACGGAACGCAGCCTGTAAACTCCTCCCATCACACACACACACACCCACAGCTAAATTTGCAACTCACGCCGTGATGCCAAATCATCGTGTCATTTGCACTCCTGTCTCCCCGTTCGTTCCACTTCACTGATCTCTACTGACACAACCGACACAGAGGAGCAGTCACCGAAAGCTCTGCATTCAAAATGCAACATTCCGCAATATGACGATACTTCTTCCTTGTGATATTGCACTAGACTTTTTACTCCCTCGCAATCGGAATACCACCCTCCTTGTCGCCTGGTCGTCCACGAGTTTTGCAATACCACGATTTGAAGACAGCCCAGTAACGCAACTCCTCCACTACAAAACAGTTTACAACACTAGAATACCAAATAAATACAACAGGGGAGTTGCGCTACACAGTCAGAGCAATCATCGAAGTGGAATGATGGGATGCAACAGGAGACAGACCGCCTTGGTGTCTGATACTTGGAAAAGTTGACAGCGAAGCATCAAAATGCCAAAGGATGCGGAGAAATGAAATCAAGAGGCAGCTCAGAGGAACTACTGTCCATTTCACTATCTTCTTACTACATCTGTACGTTCTTAACAGAAGTGACCGGAGTTTCATGCGCTCTACAACCTCCTCAACAGTTCCAAA